GAATCGTTTATACAAACGACTAATCCTGAAGAATTGCATAAAAGAAAAATTTATTTCACCAAAAATTGAGTAAACCACAAAAAAAAATGTTGCTGATGCAAATATGAATGTTGCAAGTCCTTACGCTGGTTAAAATTTTATCCCAGCGCAAAAAATCGTATAGAAGGGCATATTTGAAGTCATTCGAAAACCACAGCAGCATGTTGCTAATGCGCATAAATATTGCTAAACGTTTTTTTTTTGCAAGATTTCATATGTTGCAAGCACTTTAATCAAAGATTTACATATATGAATAATTAAACAAAAAAGCAAATGCTAGCAGAGCGCATTTACGCAAAGTTCAAGCAACAAGAGCCAGGAGCCATAGTATCCTGCGCTTATTATAAGCGTTCATTAGTAGTTGTAAGCCTTGTGTGAAATTTGAACAAAATAACTTCAACGTAGCAACATGTAGCTAAGATCGAAAAAGTGTTGCTAGAGCAGGGATGACCAGCCCATAGCGCTTCATAGCCTGCTACCTTATTCGAGAAAAGTTCAGTGAGCTCCAGCTGACTGCGATTTAGAATGTAATATTGAATATGTTTGATGTGTTATCCTTAAATTTTGAGGTTAGCATTCTGTTCACAGCTGTGACATTTTATTAGCAACACATATTGTTTTGACACACCAAAAAGTTTAGTATAAAATAATTAAAGAAAAACAAATTTCCAATCAAACTGATTTGTATAGTTCAGTGGCGTCTCTAGTAAACGTTTTGGAGGCTGTTTTAATATATCCTATCTAATTATATTTATTAGCTTTTCTACATTATTTGAAGTTGAAAGAATGAAGTCTAATATTCTTTTTTGGCCAATTACGATGTTTCATTTCAATGTTTGCAATCATATTTGTTGTGCATACCGATGTGTACAATCGTTAGTTCATTTTGCTTGAGGAGTCACAATGCCCATACCGGCTGTAACGATTTTTTTTTTTTTTAAATTTCGAACACAGACTTTCCAAGGATGATTATAGACTAAAACAAAAATCGATATCTAAAGGGGGTGTGTGGCACCTCCCATACAAACCGAATTTTTCATAGTGCATATTTCTGGAAGTATTCATAGTACTAGAACTTGGTATGGATATATATAATACATGAAGTCAATCTCAAACTCATGGAAAACATGAATTCATTAGAAAAGGCGGCATGGCACTGTAGAATTAGGAATGTAGGTAAATGAAATAAATCCCAATCCTTTGAAAAATTGCGGTATATGAAACCGATCTCGTAGCCATTGAAAAGAGCCAGCGGTACCTCCCATACAAATTAAAATTCTGATGACATATAGATATCTCTGGAAGCATTTACCTAGAATACTGAGATGAGGTATTTTTCCAATGGAAATATGCACAGAAAAACGGAAGTGACTCCTTTAGGAAAGATAAATGTTCACAGGGTGTATCTCTGGAACCATTTGAAGCTAAAGCTTGGGGGTTTACATTTTTGCCTAGACCCACAGGCATAAGCTGAAATTGCGTCGCATGCGGGGAGCTAGTCAAACTAATAAAAACGAGCCATTCACTTCGGGTGTTTGATAATAAGTCATCATCAGCAATTTTCTTACGCGTGAAATAAGGTTTTACGATCGGCTTCTATAAACTGTCAGTTTTCATACATAATGTTGCCAAGTTGTTGCAAGCTTTTTCACAGCGTGAACAGAATACTACTTTGCTGATGAAATATTGTGGAATTTCAAACTTCTTTCACAGAAAGAAATTTTATATGCAATTTGGCAGCTTTTTCACGTGAAACAGGATAAGAATACTATGCTTTATTTGTTGTTCAACACCTACAGGGGCGTTTATGTTTGAGCTGGATAACCCTGGCTCAGAATAACTCAGGTCGGTTTTAAGTTGCCGCTTGAGTTTTAAAGTATCAACGGAAAAATTAGGCCATCTAAAGGTGAAGCAGCATGTTGCTATGAACTAAGCAACATTGCTGAAAATACTGAGAATGTTTAGGACGGGGTTTTAGTCACTGAAAACATTTAAAAATTTTGGTAGCTCAAACTTCAAGCAACATGTTGCTAACGTCGAAAAAGTGCAAAAGCTTTTGAGGGATATAAGTTATTGTAGATATAAAATATAAAGAGAAAAGTTTTCAAATTCCTAATTAAAATGTAGGCGCTTGGAAATTAGGCCGCGGCAATGTGGTAGAAGTGCCTGACGAGGCGTTTTAGTTATTTATTTTTAAACAATTTTTGAAAGCCAAAAGCATGCATTTACAAAACTGTGAGAAATAAACTGTCTTGCTTGAATGGATTAGCCATGCCAAACAAACAAGAAAGCGAACAGACAAACAGATGCAAAACAGCTGACTTGTGGCTTGCATACAAATTCAAGCGACGACGCAATACGTACCTACATATGAGTAACACCTCCAACAAAAGCCACAACAAAACGAAAAACAAACCAAAAAAAATGTATGTATGTACGGCCAAGTAGTTATGCATAACTCTTTAGCTAAATGCGTGACGGAAAAATGACTACCACAAAATAAAAAAAAGAAGAGGCAAACAACAATCGCAAAAAAGCGGCTACTGTCACACGAAATTTCACTCAGCCGCGCTGAACTTGATTTATATGAGAAAAGCATAAATGTGAATATGAGTGCAAGCCTAAAAAAGTTTAGTCACATAAGAATACAAAAAAAAACATTTAAAAATTCTGCTAGCTCAGCAAAGTATATTCTTTCACCTGGGTTGAAGTAAACTACAAAAAAAAAAAATAAAATGAAAAATTATAAATAAATACTGCTGCCAAGCAAGCGCGCAAATACACACAAACCACCTTAGCTGATTTTTAATGCAGCTAGAAGAAAGCAGACAACAAACGGCACAGCGTCGCGTATAGCTCATAGTTATTGCCGTTACCTTACGCTGCAGGCATTAAGATGTGGGAAAAATTTGTAATTCAATGTTTCGCTATATTATTTTTCGATGACTTGAATGGTTGAGTTTGGCTTGCATGTATGTGTTTGTGTTAAGAATGCAAGTGAGTGAGTGCGAGTGAGTGATTTGAGTCCCATGCATAGATATACGAGCATTTGCCTTCGAATTGTAATGCAAAACCCCAAATGAAATTTAAGTTTTCAAAAAGGAGCCACAAAATTTAAGCACAAATAAAGTTAAAAATTACCACTAGAATGCAGTG